GGTTGTCTGAGTTCAGAGCAGGGTTTTCCAGAGTTTGGCCTGCTCTATTCCTGCAGGCACCCTGTGGTGCTCCTCCCTCTCTGCTCCAGTGGCATCTCCTGTATGTGCTGGCATCCAGAGTGATGCTCGATCTGCCCTTGCTCCCACAGGACTACTAGTGCTCCTCCAGGCTGAATCTTCCAGGAACTTTTCTCCTCCCTCCCGAGAGACTGAATAAGCACAAGGCTGGCTCTTTGCCGTGGCAGCCTGCACACCGGCGGCTTGGCTGGCCGAAACAGACCTTCCTGCTGCTGCCGGTTCATCATCATGCATAAAATCCCTGAAGAGAAGTCCTCCCTACTTGCTGCCATCCTCTGGTTGATTTGTCTTGTCTTATGTATTTGGCTCTTTTTTTAAAAAAATAAACTTTATTTAATTTTCCATTGGTTAAGATTAAGACAAATTGTCTCCTAGATGCTTTTTCTTCTTTGGAGCCCAAGAATCCTCCAGTAGTCCTTTCAAACTGGGAAGGGTGATTTCATTTTACTCGGAAACTTCTGCTAACAACATGAGGAAAAAAAAAGGTGTTTGGGGGACAGTCTCTTTTTTAATACTTCTGTATACTTATTGGAAATAAAACAACAAAACCTCCACCCCCTTTGGCCTGTTTTCTGGCTGCAGTTGTACAACACTGAGAGCTATAGGTTGCTTAACTACAATTGGTTGGGTAAAGCAAAATTAGGTGGTGTCCTAACACATGCTAATGCATAGTCTGATGTATGAACCGTGATGGTTTGAGTTCACGCAATACACAAAGTTGCAGATAAACAAACCTCCCTTGGCCTCAGGTGTTGTGTGAATTCAGCCTTCCAGGGAAAGTCAGGCCAAGAAGTCAGATCCCAGAGCCTGCCTCTGCCCTGTTTGTCGTCTGGGCCACCAAGGGGGGGAGAAGGGGGCAGAAATGGCTGTATTGGGTGGACGTCTTATTCTTGAGTTTCCCTTGTGGGTGAAGACCACCTCTTTGCCACAGATTTCAAGAGATGGTGTGGCATCTCTGTCAGTGTTCCTCAGAGATGTTCCTCAGAATTGTTGATAGAGTAGGCTTAAGCACGCGAGTTAAATATCTGTGACTTGTTCACATAAGTTTGCTTAGTTATCAGGTTGGCTTGGTTTTTGTGGATCAGCGTTTTGGGCACATTTGCTTGGTTTGCAGCTCATGGTACTATATCTGGGCGGTTGTGAATGTAGTCGGCTTGCTTGACCGCCAGTGGCAGACTTGGTCCCAAAACGTATCTCTGTGAGAATGGGGGCGGGGGGGCTCTGGGTCTTGAACCCTCACTGCAGGAATGGAAAGGGGTTGGTGATTTCAAAATAGGGCGGGGGTAGGGAGAACCCCACTGAGGTCCGTGTGCCAAGGACGGGAAAGCAGTGGGCTGCCATACTTTTCTGCAGCCGCTGACTGATATTTAGAATCTCCAGGAAACTGAAGGATCATTTGGCTTCAGGATCTGTTTTATGCAGAAATAGATGAAATGCTCAGCCAGGAAATTGTGACTCTTCAGATTTCTGTTTTCTGAGCGATTTTAAGTGTTTCTAATTCTCTGGACAACTTAGGAAATTGGGAGTTCAGCCTTTACTCTTACTTTGGGATGGGTTCAAATGTAATAGTGATTCTTTGGAATCTCCTTGGGACTTTCTAACAACCTCTGGAGATTTTGAGAGCTCTTTATGGATGGCAGGTGAGAGCCATCTTGCCCAGAAAGTTGCATTTTCTTTTCGGATCTTCTTTCTTTTAACTCATTTCTAAGTGGCTGAATCAGAATTTTGTTTTTTAAAGAAAAACATAAACAATTGGGCTGCCTCCCAAGGAGGGAATCCTCTAGTTGCCGTGCCTCTATGCCAGAAAGCCAGGAGGGCGCACTGCTGACCTGCTTCCCTCCTCACAGACCGGGACCGGGGGGGGGAGGGTGGCAGGTCAGGCGCCCTCTGAGAGAAGCGGGCAGCGGGACCTCTCCAGCCGCTCCCTCGGAGCAGGGAGTCACTCCTGCAGACCTAGCAGGCTTCCGGGCAGGCAGGTTGGAGACCTCCGGCCTTCCGCCTCGCGGGCTCAGCTGCCTCTGGCTGGGGCGGAGGGGGGGACAGATGGCCGCTAGAGGGCAGCCCGGAGTAGAACGCCGTTCTTCTTCTTTCCGGACTTCTTTTAAGACGCTGCCATTTTATGCCTCCCGCCAGGCGGGCGGGCGTCGTCCCCCCTCCTCTTTCCTGAGTGGCTTTCTAGCTTCGGCGCGCAACAGGATGTGAGGTCAACGTGCGTGCTGCTGAGGAGCGGGACGGCACTTTGCCTCCCTCGAGCCCGCCAGGCTTCGGGACTGCTCTGCCGGAGGCCCGGGCAGCTGGCCCGGCTGCCCTGCGCGCGGAAACCCCGGCA